TGAAACTGTAGTTGTGTTGAATTGAAACTGCAGTGTATACAAAATGAAACTGAAGAACAGAGTTATTTTTTGCAAAGATTCTGTTTCTTTTTATTAAATAAAATGACGTCGTTTGACAGTGTCGGTTTAGACACACGGTAATGTCTGACGCGCCGTGCATGATTAATCTTGCACCATGGTGCATGATATAATTTGCCCTTTTCTGGGCCTCAAAATCAAATCTTCTGGTCCATGATTTTTCTACAGATGAAGCTGAAGTTGGGGAACATAATGTAAAGTATTTGATGTTTTACTTGACCTTATTAATGTTTTGCTTCTCTTGTTTAAAAGCTTAGCTATAGCTATCCCCTATAAAAGGAATAGAGTTAATACCCAAAATGGTCCTAGACTATAATGATTTTTTCTCAATTTTATCTTAAACAACTTTGATGACCTAATGTAGTTATCTGTTTGTTATTCTATCAAATTGGTGTTAAATAGACAGATAATTCAGTCATTTAGATATTAATTTCTTCTTTTAATCTATTTATAATCATTAAATAAATCACCTCTCTTTTATGAATTGTCCCAATATAATTTCAATATAACTCTTTTACAGATTACGAATTGTCTCAGTAATTTCAATATTTACTGATTGCTGAGTTTTTGAGTGAGAAGAGATAGGGGACAAGAGCGAATTCATATGAGTTGTTCTTATTTGAGTTGCTTGACCGGGCGCCCGCCCATTATTTTATTTAGATGTTGATGCAAGGCAAGCTCCAGTAAATCATAGGTTGGTTTGCTCCCAGCTCCATTTCGCCCGACATCTTGCTTTCGGTCTTTACACTAGAATGCTTATAATACAGTAAGAAAGTACGTTAAAGTTACGAAGTCATTCTCCAAGGCTTCTTGTATCTCATCTGGAGGTTGCTCAAAGATTGTGATGCCATGCGGATGGTCTTTTCCAATCTGGGATAGCAGGTTGCTCAAAAATAAACCTCAGGTAAAAAAGTGAGAACCCATATAATTTATTAATCTTGTTAGATCAATGGTTGAGAATTGCTAAACAGTAATGAAAAAAAAAAAAAAAAAAAAAAACAAAAAACAAAGTCAGTTTTATAAATATTACAAATTTAAAATTTTATATTAATTATAAAATTGATCCCCTAATATTTTGCTATTGTTATTATAAGCAAACCAATCAAGTTAAAAATTGACTGCAACTACTTTTAAAGCCGGTAACACAGGCTTTGTTAATATCATCATCATATAATATAATATATAATATATAAACATATATAATTCTATAATCCAATTATCAATTTATGCTATAAATGTTCAATTCAATTATCTACTCACACTTTTTATTGAGACAAAATACATTCTTAAAGCCTATCTACCAAAGTCTAAATCAAACACAGTGAATTTATTGTACAGAAAGAAATTAAATGCATCAAACGATGAGCAAAATACATAGGAACCAATGAACCATCTGGTCTGAACTGAGCTTTGGTTTGATTTAAATGTGAGTTAATAACCAATATGGTCCCTCAACTATGACGTAATTATCAATTTAGTCATCGACTATTATTCTTACTCAATTAAGTTCTCAATTATACAATTTTTACCCAACTTAGTCATCTGTTAAGTTTTATGTTTGTTGACTGTCAAAGTTGAGGACAAAACTGTAATCTTCATTATCATCACAATCTTGACTAGCAAGTGTAGATGAAGGTTCAGGGGCTGCTGCCGATTCAAACCCACTCATGACCGCCGCCGCCGATCTCGTCGTCAACAAACAGGGGCGGAGCTAGGATTTGTTGGTGCGGGGGGCCAATCATAATTTGCTAGAGAATAACGATGAACTGAGAATAATTAACTCCATAACTTGAGGGTAAAACTTCTCTACCAACTTGCAAACGTCATCAATTCTGAATGACATACACATCTCTTTTGGATCTAATGATGAACTGTGAATAATTAACTCCATTGCTTTATCATCAAACCTATTGCTCAAGTCTTGTAACTGAGAATCAATCACAACATTAAAAATATAAAATTTGTAATTATGCCCAATTGTTAATTCATCTTGTTGATGCCTAGACCTTCCTCTTCTTGCAATATATTGAGCATCAAAATTCGGCACAATTATGTTGACAGTTTCACAAAAAGACTTCACACTTGCAACTAATTCATCACAACCGCTATCTCTTAAATTTTGAATAAGCAACTTAGTAGATGACACAAGATGCATTGCATTCAATATTTCTTGAAATTGAAGTTGCAAAGCTTGGCAAAGCATATTAGTTCAAATGCTTTACACCAAAAAAATATATATATATTAGTTCAAATGCTATTATATATCAAATATATAAAAAAAATCTCACTTGTTGTGACCAATGATCAAGAGCCGTGAGCTGTCAGTCCACAAGAAATCACCATTCACCAAAGAGCAAACATTTTTTAAATATGGATAGTTCACATATAAACATTGTCAAAACCCTTTAAACAAATTTAAATTAAAAGTGTGGATCAATAAGGAAAAAATTCATTAATTTAAAAAAAAAATGAATCTGGAAAAAAAAAAAAGAATAAGAAATATGTATAAGCCATATTTTTGGCTTATACATATTTCAAGAAGAAGAAATTTTGAGCATGTTAGACAATATGTGATTGTGTATGTTCAAGAAAAAGAAATCATATTTTTGGCCTGGGCTCGTTGCGAATCAAATAAGATTTTGAAAGCTTATTTTAAAAGTTTTTGTTTGGAGAGTGCAGATACTTTGGAGAAGCAATCGTTATGATGTGGAACCGTATCCACCTTGCAAGGTGGACACAATTCTATGTTCATAATTTTTTACCTTCATATTCATAATTATTGAACTCTATATTCACAATTACAAAACTCTATGTTCATAATTACTGAACTATATGTTCATAATTATAAAGTTATATATTCATAATTTTTGAACTTCATATTCACAATTATTGAATCTCTATATTCATAATTATAGAACTATATGTTCATAATTATGTTCACAACTCTATGTTCATAATTTTTGAACTATATATATTCATAACTATATATGAACAGTTTTGAAACCATGTCTACTTTAAAGAACATAATTTGCCTTGGTGAAGGGGGCCAAAAAATAATCGTATACTATTAATATTTTGTTTGGGAGAGGGGGGCCAAGGGCCCAAGACGCCTCTAAATCATCCACTCATATATGGCAATTTATATCCTACATCACGGCGCGCGTTGCATTGTGCGCTCAGATGCAAAACGACGTCGTTTTAATTTTTTATTTTTTATTTTTGAAATTTCCCGCCCTAGTGTTTGGCAGTTAATTTTTCTTTAAAAAAACCCATGTTCAAAAATGTACATAATGTTATACATGAATGTACATAATTGTATAACAAAATATACATACTGTTTTTTAAAAGATAATACACATAATCTAACATAATACATAATAAACATAAACTTTTAACATAATACACATCAACTCTTAACGTAATACACAAAAATTTCCTGATTCGGAATGTACATAATTGTATAAAAAATGTACATAATTATATGAACAAATATACATAATCACAACAACTTCCTATTGCGCCTCTCAAAACGACGTCGTTTTGGGAGGCGCGCGGCGCACAGTGCTGCGCGCGCCGTGGTGTAGGGTATAACGATTGCTCATATATTAGTATTAAATATTAGTATTAATAATTTTGTTTAGGGGGCGGCGAGGGGGGGCTAGGCCCCCTGTAGTAACAATGTTCATCCGCCCCTGTCAACGAAGACAACGGATCGCAAATCTCCGCCATCAGATCACTGCTCGACGCCAACGTTGTTCTTTCCGGTGTGCTGCCATAGTGCTGAATGTTCGCCCAAATCGGAGCCAGAGCTCTAAAACAAGAAGATCCACCCCCTTGGCCCATCGTCTTTGACGAACAACTTTCCGCTCCTAACTACGTGGCGATCACCGAAGACTCGCCGCCTGAGCTTTCCGGTGATTATGCGCGCCCTTATACACGATCTCGTGATCTGCCTGTCCGGTGAACACTCCACCTTCTTCTTCATGGTGCATTTTGGATGAGTACACTCTTCTCGGATACTCGCTCCCTTTCACGTATTTCCTCCACGTGTACCAGAGCCTAATAGTTCCCTAATCCTAATATAATATGTACACAAATATATTTTTGCTAATAATAAAGATTATATAAATATTTGACTAATGCATATTCCAACTAAATGCAGTACCCGTCGTCCGAAGAACTGCCGCCACGGCCGGTGGTGGCGACAGACAGACGTATTATTATTAGCTAGGGATTTAGTCGCCTGCGCCGTGGCGACGGCCCCTCTCCAGTGATCCAACTCCTGTTCCTGGTTATTATAGGAGCTGCAGCTTTCTCCATTAAAATTATTATTGATGCATTCTCCAAGCGGAGATAATGACGGTTCCTAGTAATTACTAACCGACGACTGTAACATAAGATGGGAATTGGAATTGGAATTAGCGTTAGTGTTGACAGCCGACATGTCGAATCTGCAATCCAAGGATTCCATCAGAAAATCGAAAGGTATGGAGGGAGTGATCTGCATTGGAGAAGAATATGAAACCTGCGAAGTTTCATTTGCGGAGGTTTGGGCTGCTAAATGGGGAAGGAGGAATAGAGCTTATAGAGTTACAGTTTTGCCCTCAATTTTAATAGTCAACAAACATATCAATTAACAGAAGAATAAATTGGGTAAAGAGTGCATAGTTGAGGACTTAATCAGATAAAAATGATAGTCAATGACTAAATTGGTAATTACAGCATAATCAATGATCATTTCGGTTATTAACTCTTTAAATGTGCTAGTGAGGCAACGGATTCAATTCTGATCTTTGGAAACGGAAAATCTGACGGCGGCTTTCTCTGTAGCCTTGAAAAATTCCAAGCAATAATGTAAATCCTCATCACACGCCACTCTCACCCTTTCTTCTTCTCCAACTTTGTGCCATATTTTAAGAGTTTCAGCTTCCAATTTGAATCTCTTCAAAACCTCTCTTCAAACCCTCCACGGTTACATTGGAGAGCACAAACATAACAACGTCATTGTCGTGTTCCACCTTAACCAACAAACTAGGTGAAGGCGGCGACGTTGTACTTTTTGTAGTGCACATAGAACTTGATGCCATTATACCATTCCCTATACCCAAATTGTTGGATTGATGATCATCTTGAACAGTTTGTTCATGTTCATCTCCCTGTTGGCTCACTTTCTTTTTCTTCTTTGTTTGCCATCGTTGTATCTTATGCCTTCTGCATGCCCGTTTAAAAGTAGATCTGCTAACTAAACAAAACAAACCCTTTTAATTTTAGCCTGGTAAATGACTGTTAACGGTTAGCTATTAGCTGTTAACTATTAGCTGATTGTGTTAATTAGAGAGTATAACTAGTTGATAACATTAGCTGTTGTAGAAAACTGTTTGGTAAATTAGCTGTTTGCTGCTAATTGAAAAAGTTGCTTGAATTAGCTTTTTGAATTTTAGTATTTTGGAGTTACAAAAGGCTAATTAATCAAACACTTTATTGATATTTTAACTAAATCAAACAATTAATAGGCCAATTTTTTTTACCAAACGGGGCCTTTGTTGTTTTTAATGTTCTTTTACATAGTTAATATGTGTAAATATTAAATTCAAATGTGGATGGGCAGAAGTTTTGCCTGGGATGAATTTGGGAGGAGATTTCCCAAAGGAATTGGGTGGAGGTTTCCTAAGGGACTTGGGAGGAGGTTTGCTTAAGGGACTTGGAGGAAGTTTCGTAAGGAACTTGGGTGGAGGTTTCCTAAGGGACTTTGGAGGAGGTTGCCTAATGGAAAAGCATGGGACTAGATTTGCTTTGGGGAAATTTGCAGGAGAAGTTTTTCTTGCATGGCAAGTTCCTAGGTATTTAATATAATATTAAATGCTCAAGAATTCTCTAGAATTTTTGGTGCTATAAATAAGGCAACATCCTTCATTCATCAGATCATCCCATCATATTCTATTGTAGAGAAAAAAAAATTGAGAGTTATATTTGTAATTCCTATTGTATTATCTTTTTGTTAATACAAAAAAAAAATTCTTCTTCAAATTTCTTTACTCTGTGTTTTTAAATCTTACACTAGAGTTATTCTCAATATTTCTAGTTCAAGTTGCTATTGTAAATTTGGTGTTGTGAACCTGTTTCGATCCTAACAATATGGCCAGGCCACAATACCAAGATAAGCTTACCTCCACACTCCTTAGCAGCTTCATCAAGAGACATGCCAAAACACTTCTCAATATCATCTATATTAATAGATTCTACTAAACTTCCAGAACTCTTCCAAAACACTTTACATATCACCCATTCATTCTGTAAAATGAACAAATTCACCCGAATTAGTTGACCTTCGTTAAGAAACAGAGAATCAGAAAACATGAGTTTGCTACCTTAGCATTTTCTGGAAGATGGCGCATGGAGTTCTTGATGCCCTCTAATCTGTATTCATGCATTACACAGTTTTTCTCCGCACTTCCGGTTGAACTCTGATAAACCAGAGTCGTCTTCAAGTTGGCTTCAATTCTGCAAATCTTCTTAGACGACTTGCCTGTTGCTTTCCAGTGCCCTGCACTGCTGGTTCTCAGCTCCGGCGGCTGAGTCTTGTCTCTCACGCAGAAGTAGTACCGTTCTTTTCCACCCATTTTCGCCGTCGCTTTGTCGGAAAACCAAGAAAGAACAAGAAAACAGGAAAAGTAGCTTTAATTCGGAGCATCAATTAATTTAAGAATCAAACCGTGTGATATAGATTTAAATTACCAGGCAAATCCCGGGCTTCAAATCGGTTCATATCAATCTCGGCAATATGTTCTGCGCAAAACGTACTATCCACAACCTTTGGGTATAAGTAGTGAGTAATAAGCTCTTCGTCGGTAGGATTGAATTGAAACCCCGGAGGCAACTCCATATATGATAGATCGTCGGAGATACTAAACAAAGCCTTTTCGTTTTCTCCGATCCGCCTCTGGCAATTCCGGTTTAGTGTTATGCAAGAACCAGTTTTTGATGTTCTGATCTAGAAGCAATGCTAGCTGCTAATGCCATATATATATACTTGCACGATGACGGTAGAATGTGTCATAACTCATAAGTCTATTTTATTCTTTATTTTTGGCAAAAATAAGTCTATTTTATTTAGGGAAAAGGGTCAGACCCCTCAACTTTTGATCAATTTTTTTTTTTTAATTACAAAGTAATATTTGTTTTATATTTTTTCTAATTACTGTAACTCAAAGAGTAATTATCCCCACCGAATTTGATCTTGTGACCTTCTCTTAAAGAGAACCACAAATGTACTATCTAAGCAGAAGGTGCTGGGCACAAAAAAATCAATTTAATCCTTAAACTTTTAAAAAGTGTAATTAAATACATAAATTTACAAATTTAGTTAATAAAGTCCTATGTAGCATTTTTTTTTTGAATGCTACTAGCTCTATTACAATGTAATGTATCTGTTCTCAACCTACTAAGGCTCAAACTCACAACCTTCCAAATGAAAGTCCAATCCAGATACTATTAGACCACATAGTCCTAGTGCCTATGTAGCATATTACTTGACAAAAATATTAATATTTAGTTCGCCCATAAGTTAAAAAAAAAAACAAAAACAAAGAAAAACAATAATAAGCTTATGTTCATCGCGAGCTTCTTCTTCCCTAATCTTCCTCTTGAGTATTGATGGCAGCTGTTGAAATGGGTTCACCACCAACATCAATTTGTGTTCTTCACCTGCTTCTTCATCCCTTATAAAATAAGTCCTAATTTTATTTCACCAATTTTTCCTCTCTAGCGTGTTCTTTCATACGTTTCTTCCACTACTACAAAAATAAGATATTATGTTTCATATATAACGTCGATTATTCTAAAATCGACGTTATATGTTCATTTATTTAAAATAATAATAATAATTACACATATAACTTCGGTTATATGTTTAATTTTAAAAAATTAAGCTTTAAATGACGTTAAAAGGTGATCATTTTTTAAAAAAATTAATTATTTTAAAAAAATATTGAGCTTTGAAAAATTCCAAGCAATAATGTAAATCCTCATCACAAGCCACACTCATCATTTCGTCTTCTCCAACTTTGTACCATATATATTTTAAAAGTTTTAGCTTCCAATTTAAATCCTTTTAAAATCTCTCTCTTCAAACCCTCCACATTTACATTGGAGAGCACAAACATAAGGCCATCTCCCAGGAAGCACCAAAACATCATTTTGGTGTGAAAATTTGGTACAATCTTACTCTAATGAAGACACCAAATTTACACCAAAATTAAATGGTGTAACTGAGTAGTGTTACACCAAATATACTGTAACACTATTCATTTACACCATTTTAGTGTGGAACTTTTTAAATTCTTTTTGCTAATTATTATTTTTAATTTATATTATTAGAAATTAATTATGAAAATTTAAAGATCTCATTGAGACGTTTAAAACAAGATCAATATCGACTATAAAATAATTTAAAATTAAAATACATAAAAACATAAATTCTATTTTGAAATATTACTATTTATATCAAAATTATATTTTATATTAAAATAATTAAAGTAAACAAAATTAAAGTTTTAAATGATAAGAATATAAATTATTTTAGTGTATGAATAGAGTTTGGTGTAAATGAGTTAGTGATAAAAAAATAATTAGTGTAAAAATATACTAAGAATATTCTTTTTAGTGTAAAATTTGATATAAAATTTGGTATTTTGAGTGAGAGATGATCTTTGTTAATACTATTATTATATCTTGTTATTATTATGTTATATTATAGCTTGTATTTCTGTTGTGTTAGTTTTAGTTGATTGAGCTAGTGTATTAGTTAGGAGAAGTTAAAGTTATATTAGCTGATATACTTTTGTATTCTCTTTCTGTTGAAACTGAATGAAAGATCTTCTCTAATGTCTTAACATCATTGTGGTGTTCCACCTTAACCAAATTAATTATTGTTGGATTAAGCCACTTAAAAAAAAAAAACAAAAAAACAAAATCAAAACGCCTCCTCCCGTCGATAGAGGAAGCTGCGCCGTCAACGTCGGCGGAGATTGAAGTCGCATCCTCCGACGGAGGACGATCCTCCTCCGTCAACGCAGGAGGAGATTAGTGTCGCCGGTAGCGAACAGTCTGGCTTTAGTGTCTAGTCATAGCTTGAAATGGGATAAAAAGAATAGGAAAGATTTCGGAGCGGGAGAAAGGAGGGATAAGAGGTAACAGTAAAAACGGTACCCTTGGTGTCATCTTCCTTGAAAATCCAATTTCATGCCAGGATAAAATGGGTCTATTATACGGTTGGTTTAATTGTTAGTTTTCAAATGTTGTAATTTAGCGATCCACCACAAAATACAAGCTTCTATTTTTTTTTCCACTGTTTTTGCCGGTCCACCGTCAACGTACTACCAGTCGTATATCCTTGGCGCGAGCATTCAACTCCGACGACCGCACAACTCCGTCTACCACAATCTGCTGCGCCAATCAATACTGCTGCTGTCGCCGCCGCCACTTGATGAATCAAAAACGATCCGGATCGCCGGCATCGGAGATTCAGGCCACCGTCCTCGGACCGCCGGTTGTCGACCGCAAAGGAGACACGGGCAAAAGAAAATGCGAGAGGGAACCAGACATGTTTTTAAAGATTCCAGCGATTCTTTGAAATTTCCTCCGATCCGGCAGAGATCAGAACATGCCTGGTTTGAGAAAGCCATTGGTGTGGCGGATCTGAGAAAACTTGATCCCAGCTGGAATTTTCCTGGTGTTTCTTCAGCCTGAACCTGAAGATTGTTGAATCATATTACAAAGCTGATTAAATTTTGGGAGAGATAGGGGGGGAGAAGAGGTTGTGGAAAAGCAGAGATTGGCCGGAAGAGAAGATGATTGGAAAAGATGAACATGAAATGATTTGGAGAACTCCGGCGGCTTCAAAGTCACCTGCTTTGACCTCAAAGTCTCCGGCACCGATCCTCAGATCTAAACATGATTTCTCTCTCATTTTATCCTCACCCAACTTCCCCAGCATTCTCTGCAAATCTCCACCGTTATCCTTCTCTTCCTCTTTCACAATCCTCACAAACTCCTCGAAGCTCACCCCTCCGCTTCCTCTTCCTCTAACCACAGAGCGCCGCCCATGCGATGCTGGAGCTCCGCCGCCTAAACCTTTCTGTCGCTGTTCTCGTCAAAGTAGTCGAACACACGTTGATACTACCGGTACTTATCATCCATCTTCTTGCTACCATTTTTCTTTTCCTTTACTTTTCCTCTCTCAGATTTTTGCTTTCCTTTTTCCTTTTGCTATTACTCTTCTTCTTCTTCTTTACACAACAAGAGGAGCGGCGGCGGAGATCCAATTGTTCGTGGAGATTTGTTCGTGGTTTGGCCGGCGGCGGGTTCATCTGGGCTCAAAGTTAACAGATCTTTCTTCTCCATTTTTTTCAACTACTTTCTTCTCCTCCTTCTTCGTTGCAGATAATGGAGATCCTCTGTTCATGGTTTGGCCGCCGGCGGCGTTTTAACATAATCTTCCAATATATATGTTTGTTTACCAATATTTTTAACATGGCGTTTGGTTGGAGAGAAAGAACTACGTGGGAAAGAAATTGTAATTTCATGGGCGATGAATTAATTTAAATTTCATTGGTTTATAGGAATAGAATTACTGAGAATTTCAATTCCAAGTATACATGGGAATTGAAAGGGAATAATTAGTATAAAGTCAAAAATGTCAATTGTTGTTGTTAGACATTAATTTTAGGTTAAAAAAAGAAGGGGTAATTTTGACTCATCACTATCTTTTTTTTTTCTTCTTAAAATTCCAAGAATTAAAATTCTAGGGGGACATGAGATTCTAAATCCATGATAATGAGAGAATTACAATTCCTTTCAACCAAACAAGGGAGTTTTGTGACCTTTGGAATTAGGTGAGAATTAAGTGGGAAGGGAATTTAAATTCTCTTCAACCAAACGCCCTGTAAATGTTGGCTTTCTTCTACTATTTATTTTGAATTTATATCATGTGCCATTTATTTTGAATTTTCCTGAATAATATTGTTGTATTGTGGCTTCAGGCATCAGCTTGCTGTATTTCTTAACACAGTGATTAGTGTGATATGTTTTATTTTAAGTAGGCTATTGATTATGTTATTTTTGCATTAATAAGGTCTTTGGTAGATATGAATCGAAATACAATTACAACATAATTCTTTGAACTTTCAAATTACAGTATTTAATTGATTTTTCATTTGTTGAATTGGAATTCATATCCTCCAATTTCAATTCAACATTCCAAAAGTCTCTAGTAAAAGAATATATATATATATATATATATATATATATATGTGTGTGTGTGTGTGTGTGTGTATGTGTGTGTGTATTATTTTTTTGGGCGTGGCTTTGGTTTGGAGCAGTTTTTATAACTTTTGTTTTGGGAAGGTGTTAGTGGCTTTGGGCTTAGGAAGACTGTTAGTGGCTTGGGTAAGCTATGAAATGATGTTCAGCTTAGGTGGTAGGATCTGTTTGGCAAACCTAGCTGAAAAGTTATAAGCTAGAAGCTGAAAACTGAAAAGTTATAAGCTCGGAGCTGAAAACTGAAGAGTTGTTAAGCTAGCTATTATGATTGAAAGTGTTTGGTAAAATTAGCTTTTTGATAAGTTGATAAATGTAAAAAGACTAAAAATGACATCTTCATAAAATTTAAATTAGTTTGTTTACCTATTAAAATTTAACATTTTGTTTTTTAAAAAATTAACATTTTGAAATAAAACTATTAGCATAATCATGATCTAGTATCTCATAATGAAGTAGCAATATTGTTGCAAATCTCATAATAATAATAATAATAATAATAATAATAATAATAATAATAATAATAATAATTGAGGTGAAAGTTGCAGATAAAGGAGAAGAAAAAATAGTTTTAATTGGGAAGGGTAAATTATGTCATTTCTTTAAAATAATAAGGATAAAGATGGAAAAAAAAGTTAGG